TATATTTATTGTATTTCTTTTCAGTCATTTTCCAAGCAGCAGTGCCTCTCTTTCATCCTTATGGTTATATACTACACAGGCAAGGTGAATTTTTCATTTTTCATGCGACATAAAAAAATGAATTTTTAACAGAATTTTCATGCTGTAACAAGGATCTTTCATCAAAAGCATGCTCATTTAAGATATGATCTCTCTAATAGTGAGAAATAACGTTGTTTATAAGTCCCAGACCAAGTTCAAAGCCATTTTAGAATTCAGAAAGAAGTTTGGATAATATTACTCATTTCAGTTTTCTTCCCAACAGTAAAGAGAATGTTTTTGGCAGCTGGGTTTGTGACATACTGCCAATCACCAGGGGCAATGCCTGACAATTAACTTAGAAAATCTCATTGCTCTTGACTAATAAGAAAGGAAAGAGCTAGTTTTCAATTTATAAATATTTGGCTTATTAGTGCACGGCAGACACAAAACAAATGTTGCAAGAAAATACTGCTTATGTTAAATATATCTTTCCAGTAGTTTGGTGAGCAGACATCTTCCATTTATAAATCAGCAATAATTCCAGCAGATATCCCTTAGGTACAGGCAGCTCTCAGGGTCATTGTAACTATAACCAATTCTGGCATTGAACTAGGCATTCATATTTGCTCTTAACCTTGGTCCAACAGGCATCACTCACTCCATCATTTATTTCCCTTCCATGAAGTCTCACTGCTCTTCCATGAAAGCCTGCTGTGGAAGGTGTGGCCCTCTCAAACATCAGTGCATGGTCTGCTTTATGCAGACACAATGAATAACCCACAGAAAATAAAATTAATGCAACTGACCAAAGCTATTTATCTATCTCTTGTATCCAAATTTATCTCCCAGAAGTAGGAACTCTGACTATACGAAGAATGGCAAGCACATAGTACAACCATTTCAAAGCAAAACTCCCAGTGTGCACAAAACACTGCTTTCGATAAAAGATGGCAGCTGCAGAGCTGGAATGGTAGCTGGTTGCCATAGCTACCAAGGCTCTGATTCAGCCACCATATGCCACCTGGTGTTCTCAGCCTGAAAAAGCAGGTATGGGGTGTCCTCAGTTGGAGATAGGACTGTGGCCATAGCTCCTCAGAAACAGTACTGCCCTGGAGGTGCTGTGGTGTTCACGTTGTTCTGCTCACTGGTAGAAAAAGTGGGGGCTGTAGCCTTAGAACTCAAACTAGGGGTTCAGCTTGGGATAGGAAACACAAGCTTACTTTTTTCTTTCTGATTCCAATTCACTCATGCAAACACTGCTACGTGGATATTCATCTCAAAAAAATCAAACTTTTGCTAGGGATATAGCTCAGTAATTGAGCATATGCTTGGCATGCACAAGGCCCTGGGTTCAATCCCCAGCACCAAAATAAAATTAAATAAATAAAGAATTTTTTTTCTTCTTTCCAGGGCAAATTTGCTACCCAAATCTGATAGGTCATACAATACTGCAATAGCAACAAACTCAAAATGATGGCTACAATGATTGTAGAACATCAGATTTTGTCAGTTCTTAGCTAATCATGAACTTTAGATTTATTATCCCCTTAACTCCTTCTAAACATACTATATGGTAAATAATAGCTTTCTAGCTTTATTGTATTTTATTATCTTATTTTTTTCAGTTATTTGAACCCAGGGCCTTGTGCATGCTAGGCAAGCACTCTACCATTGAGCTATATAGCATTTTAATACTGAATAATATGTAAATTTTATTTATATACAAATAATATGTAGCTTACAGATATATTTAAATTCAGGTAACTATGTGTATATGCATGTATACACATATATACATATATATGATTATATGTGAGGCAATCTTTAATATTATTAACTGAAAACAAGTATGCTATAAATCTATAATTTCTATTCTGTCCCACAATGAAAGGCAGTGATTGCACTTGTCTTGAGACTCTTTGGAAATGTTCACGGTGGTTGTGTAGTTGTTGTTATTCCTAAAAACTAAATTTTCAATGTGCTGTACAATGATAAGATTGTACAACAATTTTAGCTCTTATTGTAAGTGTTGTACACTTTTTGTTTGGTTTTTCTATTTTTAAGGACATTGACTAGGGTAAGACATTGCCAGTGATTCAACTTTGAAATGAATATTTCATGTTACCCTTTTTTCTAGTGCTACTAAAATATTGATTACTGATTTCATATTAATGATCTGAGCATGCAAAATTTGTTATTTTGATGTCATTTAAATTAGTACTGAGAAACAATGATCAGCATAATAAAGAAAATGCTTCAAAATAAGAAAAAATAAAGCCTGTTAACTCTTTATAATTATTTCTGTATTATAGTGTACACTTAAAAAAATTGCCTCCAGAGATTGCTTTAACATTCAGTATCCTTTTTAATTTGGGGAGTGTATTAAAATAGCCTCCTGTGGACTGGAGTTGTGGCACGGCAGTAGAGCATTCGCCTAGCATATGCAAGGTCTTAGGTTCAATCCTCAGTACCACATAAAAATAAATAAAATAAAGGTATTGTGTCTAACTACAACTAAAATTAATATAAAAAACAGCCTCATTGTTTTCATTAATTGACATAATAGGTAAATATTTCAAATTTGAATTTATAAAATGTAGCATGCCAACCAAAAGTGGTTTTTATTTTTCTTAAATAGTAGAGTCCCAAATGCAATTCCAAATACAGTTCAATTTGCAAAAATAAATTTGCAAAATGGACTCTGTTGCTAAAAAGTCTGAAAAATCACTAGGTTTGAAATCATCAGGCCCCAACCACACACAGCTGGTGGTGGTTCAACTTACAGTTTCTCAGTTTACGATGGCACAGCAGCAATATGCATTCAGTAGAAATCAGACTCCAAATTTGAATTTTGACCTTTTCCTGATCTTGCGATAATGTGGTTCAACACCCTCTTGCCATGCTGGACAGCGGTAGTGAGTCACAGCTCCAGACAGCCCTATCACGGTCAGAGGGAACAGCACCCAAGATTCTTTGTAAGGTGTGATATGTGGCCAGTCGATTCGGTGTTTGATGCATTTTCAATGGACAATATTTTCAGTTTCTGATAGAGTTATTGGGAGGTGACTCCAGCATACACCAGGGAGCATCTGTCCCATCTTGAAGAGAATTAACCCAGTGTGGGCAGAAAAATCAGCTCAGGGCATTTCAGGAACTTTGGTATCCCTCATGGTCCACTTGGAAGTCTCATCAGCTGTTGGTGCAGACTCATGGAACCCATGGGCTGCAGGGGACAGTGTGGGCTGGCACATGTACAGACACTGCCCTAAGAGAATACAATTCTTGGATGTGTCCAGATGCCATGAGAAGTGCCGCAGTCTGGCTGGGCACAATTCAGGAGCCACTTGTCAAAAGAAACGAACTTCATTTTTAGAACACACACACCAAACCACACAGCTCCTCAGGAAGAACCTTCAGAGCCCAACTGCCACCACCGGCTTCCCACAAGCCTCTCAACCTTCCCCACTCTTCTTGCTCTTGAGGCCTATTGGCTGGGTCATGTGGGCAGAGCCAAAAAGAGTCCCCCAATGAGCAGCTCTGTGGTCTGAAAGGGCAGGGAAACAGCCCAATGAGCATCACCACAGAGGAGCCAATCAGTTGGCAGCTAGAAGTTTGCAGGGGCTGCTGTGAGCCAATCATCAGCTGGCAGCTGGAAGTTTGCTGGCAGCTGGAAGTTTGCTGGGGCTCCTTTGGCTGTGGCTCTCAACATTGAAGTGGCCATTGTGTGTGGCCCCCCAGGTGGCAGTAGGAGGCCTTGGAGCAGTTATGTTCTCTTGCAAAAGGCTGGCTTCCCTTCCTTCTTGCTTATAGGTTTTTTATTTTTTATTTTTTTGCTCCTTCACTCCCAAGCTCACTTAGGAAATGTGGCTTCCTCTGTCTTACCTTTGCATTTGTTTGCTTGTTTGATGATTTCCTGAATAATTCCTGGCTTTGTTCCCCTAGCCTAATCACTGGGCTTTTGACCCTTGGCTTTTCAATTGGAACACTCACCTACCATACCTGTAAATACCGCTATTACTGTATTATCTCTCAGGACTGCTATTCTTCCCAACTCTATAGTTTTGAGACCCCATCATGAGGCGGGGAACATGCTAGTTGCTTCCTTTTACTTTTTCAAATCTTTGCAAAGACTCTTGAGGTAGATATTCTGTTTCCCATTTCCCAGTAGGAAAATGGAAGCTCAGAGACAGGTAAACTGAATAGCCCAATGGGACATGGTTGAGGAGTTTTGAAACAGATTCAGATCTAGGTCTACCTGTAAAAGGACTTCTTCAAGTATTCTTTTCTCATTTTTTGCTGGACTTGGCCTGAAGAGATGCCAGCTACATTATGGCATAAGTCCCTTCCATAACCTACCCTAACTCTACATCCATCCAGTTTTATTACAACGGACTGTTTCTAGTCTGAAACTACTAACACATCCTGATAGAAAGCTTGTATTTACATCACTGAAATAGAATGACTCTCTCTAATGACTACATGTGTAGCATATAGTCATTAAAATTATGCACATATAATTTTTAAAAAGAATAACTATTAGTTTCAATGGTTTTCTCATAGACAGTGTTTGTATCTGCTAGTAGTATTTTCATGACATCTCTTTTTTCTATTACAGATTGATCAGAAGAAAGTCTTGCTTTTATTGTCATATTTTTCCTCCATTCTTGTTTCCATCCCTTACAAGGTAGAAGGCAAAATAGTGATAAAAATTCTTCTACTCAGGGAACGTTTGCTCCCAGAGCATGGGGTGGGTGAGTAGAGGGAATGGGGTGATGTTGGGTCAGTTGAACAGGAGGGAGAAATGATGAGAATTCAAGGTGAAAGATGTTAATTAGTCTCATTCAGTCATTCCACACTGTATACATACAAATGTCATGGTTCCATCATGTATTCCTTAATTATATATATAGTTGTAACTTGTCAAAACAAGTCCTCTACTCAGAGTATGAAACTTAGTAAATAATTTCTCTCTCTTTCAGATATCATCATCATCATCATCACCATCATCATCATCATCGTCGTCGTCATTTTGAGTAAGAGAAATGAAATCCCTTCTTATTAATTTATTTATTCCTTCATTCATTTGCTTTGTATAGATAACCAGTGTAAGGAGGAATTCCGTTATCCACAGAATAGGTCTCTAGAACATGGTTTCTCATGCTCTCATGTAAAAGAATGAGCAGGGAGAGTGTGAATGCCCAGTGTACTTAGGAACTTCAGGTCCTGTGATAAAGGAGTGGAGATAGAGTATTAACCGTGTTCCAGGGAACACTTCAGAGTTTGTTGGGTGGGTGCAATTTTGCATTCAACTTTTCCACTTAAACTTATACTATAAGCATTTTTCATGTTTTAGTCTTTATGGTTATAATTTGTAATTACTATGTTTCACTGATGATTTACCATAATTTCTCAATGATTTTATTTTTCTTAAGCCTTGAATGGCTTCCTAAGGTGTTGATTCTCTGCCTTCCCTCCCATGAACATTGTATACTTCTAAGGGGTAAATTGTATGGTATATGAATTAAATCTCAATAAGATTTGTTTAATGGCTAGCTTTATTGAGATTCAATTCATATACAATAAAATTCACCTATTAAAAGTATACAATGTGTTGATTTTAGTTGCAACATTGTGTAACCATCATTGGATAAATTTAAGAGCATTTTTTATCATTTCGCAAATAAATCTCACATCAGCTAGTAGTCACTTCCTTTCTCTGACTCTCCAACTCTAAGCCACTACTAATCTTTCTGTCCTTATTGACTTGGAATCATACAATGGCTTCTTAGCATAATTTCAAATTTCATGTTTTCAAAATTCAATGTTTATTGTGGTAAACATCCAGACTTCATTTCTCTTTATGTCTGAATAGTATTGTGTTACGTGAGTAGAATGAACTAGATTTTGTTTACTCATTCATCATCCACCAATGGATTTCTAAGTTGAGTTGTGGTCACCGTGTGTCTGTTCCTCAGCTCACACACCAGGCAGCAAAGCATGTGACTGTGTTGCTTCCTGTCTCCCAATGGCAAACACACACAGCATGTTACAAAAGCAGATAGTTGAAATAGGGACTTGGCCAAGAACATTGGATGCAGGAAAAAAAAAATCAGAAAGTAATGTTAGAAAGGAAATTTGAATCATAAATAGAGTAATTGAATACATTGCTGATGGTGGAAAAGTTGACAATGCTACCATTCAAGAGATGGGCGGTCAGAGGAACTGGTACAGGTGAATGTATTGACACAAATGAAGATGTCTTAGTAGAAGTGACACCAGCAAAAAACACATTAGCAGGCCTCAGTGGCACACACCTGTAGTCCCAGTGTCTTAGGAGGCTGAGGCAGGAAGATTGCAAATTTCAAGGCCAGTCTGGCCTCATGAGATCCTGTCTCTCAAAATAGAAGTTAAAAGGACCAGGAATGTTGCTCAGTGGTACAGTGCCCCTGGGTTCCATTCCCAGTGCCACCAAACCAAACCAAACATTTCACATCAAAGGAATCTCAGAGATATTTCATGACATTGAAAGCAGTGAGGATAAAATGTTGGTGTCAGTTCTAGGCTTAGGAGTATGACAATTCCCCTAAACATAGAAAGATGCTTGCTCTATCATAAGTTATGTAAAATAGAGGTAAAAACTGTTCAGCCTTAAAACTCTAGATAAAGTTTTTGTTTGTTTGTTTGTTTGTTTTTTCCATGCTCGGGATTGAACCCAGGACCTTATGTACATTAGGCACATGTTCTATCGCTGAGCTATATCCTTGCTCTTTTCCAATTCTTTTTTTTTTTTTTTTTTTTTAGAGAGAGTGAGAG